CCACAGAAGGGATGGAGCCCCTCACCGCCAGCTTCAGCAGCAGCAGCGGCGGCGGCGGTGGCAACAGCGGAGAAACCGTAGGCAAAAGAGACTTGAACCAAACCATAAAGTCCCGGCACAAGAGGAAAACCTTGGCTGTGGATTTTGCAATCCCGTCTCTGTTGCGCTATTATCTGGCAGAGTTAATAAAAAGACCCCTGAACGGCGACTGCCAGACTTTTAGCGGATGTTACAAGGTGAGCGCAAACTTGAAAATGCATTGCACACCTTTGCAGAAAACCATATCTACTTTTATGGATCCCAGGTCGGCTACGGACTCAGCACAGAGGAACATGTCTGTTGATGGACAGCTCCTCTTCTTTCACAAGCGGCCGCTGTCCAAAGTTCTGAAATTGGGCTTGACGAAAGCCAGCAGAAAATCAAATCAAGTAGTAGTGGAAATAGGTGAGGATATAGTCAGGACAGGATGTGGGGGGCTCTCTGTGTACGAGGAGGCCACAGTGTCCACTCTGGAAATGGACTTCACAACTATCCTGGAGTGGTGGCTCGGCGCAGAGGGGGGGCGGCTCAGGGTTCGACTCATGCCCGAGAAAAAGGCACAGGTCCCCGGGATCGAGAATCGGTACACCGCGGCCATACGTGCTGCAGACCCCCGCCTCTTTCTCCAGATATCCTCCCGGGGTGAGTTCGTCCCTCTCTCTCACTTCTTTCCATGCTATTCCCAACATACGCCTACACGGAGTCCACACACACCACCCAGCAGCCCCAATTCATGTTGCTCCGTCATGGTTCTGCTGATTAATTGTGGAGGTTGCGTTGTGGCGTATGCTTTGACTGTCTTTAATGGTGAAATGCTGCGGAAGGTAATGTCAACGCATGGAGTAAGACCTTTTATTTGGTATGGTCTAATGAGAAAATGATGACTGGAGAACGTGTGTCAGAGGAAAATAACACTCAGGGAATCGTGTACTTACGCCTGTTGCTCTGATCCAGGGGACTCTCCAGACTTCTGTTTCATTATTGATGCCCGCAGCAGCACTGAAAGACGAACTGCGTGTTAATTTAACCGCCAAACTCTGATTATAACCAGCTGGGATCTATGCTGTTTATACGCAACATCTTTATTCTTATCAGTTCTAAGATGCTAATTATCATTTCATTTAGAAGGAAAGCGGGGCTTCATGGCAGGATAATAACATGGCTAATCCAATACACTTCATAAAACCTATAGGCAATTATATATATGCTAGAACATCAGGGCTACCTAGACTCTACTGGCTCCTCCTTAACGATACCTTCTCAATTCCCAGAGCTACCCTGTGCTGAAGGGAGGTTGGAGATTTAAGAGGACGAGTTTTATTTTGATTAGCCACAAATTAAGCTGTTATCTCCAAGAAAGCTTTACTCCAGGGTCCTTCTGTCGTTCTTCTGAGCATAGGTACAATCAGTGTAATTGCTTAATCACGTTGATGAGGGAGGCTGGCCCAAAAAAATACACGGGAACCTATCAAACAAAAGCAAGGGAGATGCTGGCTGGAGTTGGGAGGAATATTCCTGCCAGCACGTGTGCACATAAAAAAAACACATGTAAACAACACCCAGAAACTAACTCCTGCCAGCACGTGTGCACATAAAAAAACACATGTAAACACCCAGAAACTAACAGAATGTAATAGCTGCATATATTACATTCTCTGTTGGTTACTATTGGATGATTTAGGTTGCATTTTTAGAAAAGAAAATAACTTTACATTTGTTCCAATAACAGGTTTAGATTAAATGCATCAGTGTGTTTAAATCACAATTGCAGCTCCCAATTGGCATAGTATATGTTGGAAGCCATAGGTTTTGCATTAAAGACATGATTTGTTTTTAGAGCACCCCTACAACCTCAAACTGTTCCAGTGGAGCTCAGTGGCTGACAGATCAGACTGGTTCTACCTGCAAGTGTGTGAGTGGGGAGAGCAATAGTAGTGATCAGCAGACCTACTCCTTAAACAAGAGTTTTAAATCTTCCTTTTAAATCTCTGCCAGGGTTAAGAGTGAATCCTGCACAGCTCCAAAATCTCCAATAAATTCCCTCAAAATGCCATATGTCTGCATTCATTTGACAAAAACAACTGTCCATCAGCAGCAAAGGAGGAAAAGTGTTACATCTATAAAGAGAGCAGGTGACTGTGGAGGGATGGGTCAGAAAAACATTGGACAGTGACACAGGAGATTGCTGTTCACTTTCTATTTTACTACAAACAGTCAGGCTCCAGGTTTTCTTTTCTTCTACATGGACAGAATATGCTCACTGCAGCTCCAGCATGCAGCTGGTGATGTTTACAGATGGGAAGCCATATGCAATCTATCCATCCATTATGTATACGTACAGTATCTACTTGTCCTTTCAGAGGGTTAATCTCAGATGACACTTGGAGAGAGGCAGGGAACACTTTGGATAGGTCTCTAGTCTGTCACAGGACTGACACATAAAAACAGACAACCATTCACACCTAAGGACAATTTAGAGTTGCCAGTTAACCTGCACGTCTTTGGACCATGGGAGAAAGTCAGAATACATAGAACCCATGCAGGAATGGGGAGAACATGCAGAGTGCTAACCATTGCTCCACCATGCCTTCCCCTACCCCAAGTAGGGTATGTAAGCACACAATGCTCTGTTCATGTAGACCTAACCAAACCTTAACCATAGTTGTGTAATTATAAGGCCAGAAAAGCTTCAGTGCGTCATTCTGGAAGAGAGTTACAAACAACTTATTTTGCCATTTAATTTGGACGATGTTGGTATTTGTGGTCATCTTTAACAGGTGGGTGATTAGTCAGGAATAACACTCCCCTCTGCAGCACTGACATGCTATTGCATCTCCAGGAAAAGTACTGCATTGTGCAGTGATATTGGCGAAGTAGTCACAGAGACAACTGCTTGTGATACTTTGTACTCAGAAAAACATTTTTGTCACGTCTGTCACAAAAGAAAGAAGAGTAAAAATGAAGAAAAAGTTAAAAGCATTTCAATGGTCAAACCTTGAAACATCATCCAATTTCAGAACAACAAATTATTATTAAATTATTAATTTTAGATGAATGGACACTAATATGAGTGTCATGGTGAAGCAAGTGCAAAGAGAGGGGCTCACTGCAATGAATAGGCTGCCATGTGTTGTTTATTACATCCATGATCATTTCTCCTACTTTATATCGCCTCCATCCTTCATCCTCACATAACCTAGAAACTGATCAAGTTTTTAATCACAAAAAGTGTGTGACTTAGAGGAGTGAGGGGAGACTCCCTGAAAGAGGCCTCAACAGAGAGATAGCAACATCCATTTTTTAAAAATCTCTGAGCTGTGCTGAAACCATATCACTCAATAACTTTTTGGCATGAAGACACAGTGATTAGTGCTGTCGCCTTACAGAGCACATCAGTATAAAGGTCAGATGTGTAATTGGATGTAGGTGTTGCTCTGAGTGTGAATGGCTGTCTGTCTATATTTGTTAACCTGAGACAGACCTGTCTTGAGAGAACAGAGCTAAGAGAGGTTCATTCAAAACAATCGTTAATTCATTTTCAGCATCATCTTATTGTGATCATATTTTATACATAATTTTGTGTTTGAAATTAAGGATTCTAAGTCAGTTATAATTGAAACAGCAACAACAACAAAAAACTGATTTGCTTTGCACATTAGTTTGTTCTTGATCTTGGAAAAAGTAGCTTGTCAAAATAACACTTAAAATTTCTTAAGAACCCTTTATTAGCTGAAATCTGCAGAAGGAGTTTGTTCAGTTGTCATGGAGATGGATCAGCTGTTGACATGTGACCTGTGAAAGTGTTGAACAATGGGTACATGATAACAGGTGGTCCTTTTCATTATTTTATAGGTGACTTTGCATACATTCACCAGTATGTGTTATATGTGCAGTAGCTATTTGAAAAATGTCCTTACTAATATCAAGTTAATTGTGGCTGTAACTCAGCCTCTCGTGACTTTCAACAGAAGAAGACAGTACAGAAAATGAATGAGTGGATAAAACTGAGAAATGTTAAGTGGTGTAGCATATGGTCCCAAATCTGCTCCCCTCAAACAAAACATGAAATGTTGCTTTTTAAAAACTACAAAGAAAAAAAACATTTGTATTTCAAGTCAGAGAATAAGATTGAGCACCATCTCATTTTATTCAGTGTTCTTAAATGATTAACATGATAAGTGTCATGATGAACAAGTGGCAGAAGTCTACACTAGGTATCCCAACACACCACAGCTGGACTCCACTGATTCAAGCAGCTTCACACTGCTTCCTAATGGATTACTCTGCTGGATATTTGCAAAGTCACAGTTATTATCATAAGCAGTTATTACACTGAGTTTTTACAAGGCGCAAGGCACAGCTGTGTCTACACATTGTTGATGCATAGACAAACACACACACTTACTTGTACTTTTATCTTTGTGAGGACATTCATTGGCATAATGTATTCCCTAGCCCCTAACCCTAACCATCAAAACTAAACACCTAACACCTTACCTTAACCCTAACCTAAATCTAATTCTAACCTGAACCCTAAAACCAAGTCTTAACCCTCAAAAAGGTGTTTCACAAAGTGAGGACCAGCCAGAATGTTCTCACTTTGCAAAAATGTCCTCACTCTGTAGCAAAAAATATTTCTTTGGTCCTCACTATATAGCAAGTACAAGAAAATATATTACACACACAGATCTGTTGTCTCTCCTTATCCCTTCCTATAATAAAAATTCCCTTCTGCCAGTGTCACACTCTGCCTCCTCCATACAAAATGACTCAACTCAAGGCTCCAATGTGTATTGTGTTGCTGTAGCAGCTTTTTTTTACACCCCTGATTGGCTGATGTTTGGCATTTTTCTGTGTAATGTGCATGCTACACTTGTTTTTTCCAGCCTCTGGTACGATGTTGTCTATTAGCATGAAATAAATACCTGCCATGACACCCAGAATAATTTGACGATCAGGCAAGCATGCCTACAAGAATCGAGGCATTAAATTCTGCATTTATGCATTTATACTTACTCACCCTATGGGTCCAACCATTAACTGATCTCAGCATTGGTATTTGGAAGAAATGGGGACCCCTCTTCATTTACCTACACCTGTTCATGTTTGTTGGTGCACCATAAGCAAAAGAGCGTCTTCATAAACATGCTGCTGCCACCGTGAGAGGAGGAGCAGCTTTCCCCCTATGTTTGCCCTGCACCCCTGCCCCAAATACAAACACACACAGAGACTGGTGATTTGCTTTTCAGCATCCCCTGCCTGCCATTTCCTTTTGGAGACTTAAAACTAATTACAGTGTATGTGTGGTATAGACGTTAGGAAAAAATTATAATTTCCTGTTAATCATACAGAATGTCAAAAGTAAATTTTTACTGTTGATTACACACTCGGTACTTTGTTTATTCTGTGTTGCTTGTAGCCCTTTTGAATGAGGTTTCCTTTAAAGATGAGCAGACTTTTAATTTTCCTCATTCCCAAAGCTTTTCTCTTGTCTCCTGAGAGAGCGGTTAGCATTATTAGCCCCACGAAAAGCCACAGAAGCTTCACTGAGAGTGTGCTATATCTTGTTTATTGATCCACAGCATTGCAAAAAAGTGTACTTTGTAGCTTTTTTGTATTTATCTCTTTAATGTTCACACAGC